TTAAAATTTTTTTTTTTTAAGAAAGGAATTTTGAAATTCGTTTTTTGAATGTTCTTCTATCAAGGTTATTATTTATGCTACAGGGAGAATATGCCAAGTGACATAATTTCAGGTTTTTTTTAAAATATTATTATACGTTTTAAACGATGGTTTCAGTTGATGTGATAGTAAAATCAAAATTTTCATTGCTTTGCCTTTTGTTTGCTTCATAAGTATGGAATCTTCATATCGGTTTTGAGTATATTTTTACACATTGGTATTGTCTAAAAAGCAGGAAGCTTACATATTTTGATTAATTTAAAATATTGGTTTTGAGATCGTCATTTTTAAAGATTTATCTCTCTTAGTCATCGCCCCACTGTTATTGTTTCAGAAAATTTTCACCGCGTGGGCTTCTTACTCAAGGAAAAGAAACAAGGGAATAAAAAAAGATGCAAATTTTTTATATTTTTAGATAAATGTCCAGTTAAATGAAAACTGTTATAATAATACATACATATATATCGATATTTATTTTGAGCAAGTCGTTTCATTTTGTTTAAACTTTAAACTAGTTTTGGATTAATGAAATATCGTTAATTTGTTTTATTGTCTGGATGGTTTTTAGACTTTTTGATGTAAAGGGAAAAGCTAATGACAATAAAATTATAATTTATTTTGCAGCTACGTACTCTCATAATAGAAAAAAAAAATCGTATTTTCCTGCCATTTTGAAGAAAAACAAACCAAACATACTTAATCTACTTTAATTTTTAAAAAAAAATGTATGATAATTTCAATTCAAGGGCCGATATTAATATTAGTGTAAACTAATATAGAGAGATATCTTTTTTTGAAACTATCCTCATGTTGAGAGATTCCAATTTCTGGAATAACCAATACCCAAAGTCTGAAAACGGAATCATTTAATGTATTTAATAAAATATATAACAGAAATAAATATATAAGAGCTTGAAAAAAATGGTAAGAATAAATAGAAACAAGCACGAGATGTATAGATTGTTTTATAATGAGTTTATAGATTTTATTNTTTTTTTTTTTTTTTTTTTTTTTTTTTTTTTTTTTTTTTTTTTTTTTTTTTTTTTTTTTTGTCTTTTTCGTCCGTCGTTGAACTTAACTCGTTAAAGTTGTAAACGCGTAGGACGCGTTTACAACTTAGAAAAGTAATTTTGCCACCATGTATCTTATTTTATTGAAATAAAAATTGCCGATTTAAAAGATAGAAACCGATTTAAAAATTTGTGCGCCGGTGCAATTAAATGCAGCTATTTCATTTACTTATTTAAATTTTTTATTTATTTTTTAATGCATTCAAATTTGATGAGAAAAAAACAGTTGGATTTTACTGTATCTTTTGATTTCATTGTTTTTTAATTTTTTCTTTTTTTCTTCTTCTTTTTGGCGACTTAATCGCTTGCGCAGGCGAAATGAAAATGGAAAGAGCTCAAAAATAGTTTGCTCATAAAGCTAATAAGTTTACTTTGGCATGCAAACAACAGTATATCGTAAGTATCGTAGTATTAGACTAGACTATATCGTTGGTTTACAGATGTTTACAAAAAAGACCATTTAAAAAATATTATTTATGAGATTTAAAAAAATAATTGACTAAAATGTGGGGAGTCAAAATCTGTTTCTTTGGTCCCTTCCTCTAACTAAGGCCTTTTTTGTAATCAACAACAAATGTGATACATTTTAATAAGTTATGGACCAAAACAATACTTTATTCTAATATCATAAAAAGGAGAAAATGACACTAAAAAATATTTTTAAAGTCAATTATGAGTATGTTCATTTGATCATTTTCTAATTTCAGCTATTATTTTCAATTGTAGAAAATGACAAAAATATTTAATAAAAAAAGATACATCGTTTAACTGATGGAAATATTTTTCAGTGGTGCCATTTGTGAATAATATTGCATAAGTTTTGTGATCGCAATTCGTCATAATTGATCAAAAGTTAATGATATGATGAATATACGTTCATAAGAAAAAAGAATAAAAAGGAATAAATTTTCAATACAAAAGAAAAGAGAGAAAGAAATAGAAAGAAAGTAGAGGATAGTTTCTTTTTCTAAATCTATTATAGAATTTAAAAGTAGCCAATTTATAAGTTTAATCTCTCTATAAATTTCTAAATTCTTTTTGTCAAGTAAGATTTTTTTAAAGATGGATGTATTAGTATAAGTTTTAAAGAAACAATGCTTCTTCGTGTAAAGGTCTTGTTCTAATTTTATTTACATGAAAATAGAACGCAAATAGTTTACATACTATTGTTATTTAAATCTTACAAGTACAGTTTTCTTTAAGCGTTGGTGGTATAACGGTTAGCATAGCTGCCTTCCAAGCAGTTGACCCGGGTTCGACTCCCGGCCAACGCAAGACTTTTTTAAAACTTATTCGCTGTAATTATGAATTATTTATTGATTCATTTATTTTTTAAACTTATCATTCCAACGCATAAAGAACATTCAATGATTAAAATTATATTCGAGCTCGCTTATACACAATTCTCTCTGTTTGGTTTAAATTTTCAATGCAATTTGCGATTACAAACTTTTAAATCTATCTTAAGAAATGTAATTTTTCTTTAAATTTTTGAAAGTAGTATTTCCATGAAAGTCATGAAAAATTACTTGTACTTCATTCATTAATAATAGAGCAAAAAAGGGTTTCATACCGTCACAATCACATTTTAAAGGCATTAAACAAATACACGAACGAGAAAACTTAATTTCTATATACTCTTATTAAATTGAAAGTTAAAAAAAAGTCAAGCTTGCATTTAACCCAGATTTAATTTTCAAAAAAATGTAGCGAGTGTTCTCTGGAACTTAAAAAGCTAAAACAATGACCTAAACCTAAACGATGATTAAAGACCTAAAACGATGTGTTGTGTTAGTTTTATTTTGTAAGTTAGAAAGTTTTAAATATGTGAAGATTAAATTCATATATTTAGCTTTAGTTTCACTCTCTTTTGTAATATAAAGAAATTTTTAAAAAATAAAATATAAGATAAAACAAAATAACGAATCTTAATGTTTATATAATGGTTTCATCTGTTTTTGCTAGATGGCGACACCAATCATTTTAAGATTTGTGAAAAGACGAAATTAAAAAATATTTTGTTAACAGCAATTGATGGCCAAGTTCAGAACTATTGTAATTCTTCAGAGCATTGTCCTACCTGACTGACCAAGCGTCATGATCATGGTCATGATGTACGGGGAAAGGGCCACTTCGCGGCTTTAAGCACCCAGAAGAATATAAATTACAAAACATTCGAACTGGCAGAAAATTTCGATTTAAACTTTATTAATATTTTTTAAAAATTTTATTTCCATTAAGCTCTTCGATTTTAATTTTTTTTATTAAATTCCAATCTTTAAATCAAAAAATTTATAATTAAATGTCCTGCACTATGAAATCTCGATTTTTAATATTTATTAATTAAATACTTTAAAAATAGTAATTCTTTTCCTTATGAGTAAATGAATCCAAATGAGTAAATAAAATTATGCGTCAGGCGATAGAAATTAATATAATATTTAAAATAGTTTTTATAGTAAGAAGAATAAAATTTTTTTAATGAGAATTTTTCTGGATGTAAAATAGTTAAAAAAAACTATACGAACTTTATTCACTGCAATGAATATAACATATATGATAAACTTATTTTAGATAATTGTTACAGAGCATGCTGATGACGAAGTTTGAGAGAATATTTTGAAATGTATAATGTAAATATGTAGGTTAAAACAACATTATTACATGATTTAACTTTCTCTCAAAATAAACATTCGGATTCCAAATTCCAATAATTTTCATTTAAGTTTACTCTTAGTGGTTTCAAAATCTGTTAAATTATTAAAACTGAAATCCTTAAAAAATTATAAAATAGAAAATTCAAAAGATAGGGAAATAAACTTGAAATGAAGTAACCATGATAATTGCAAACATGTTCCCAATTTACAATTAAATTATAATTAAGCTTTTATTTAATAGAACTAGAACCCCAGTTCAGATTTTGCGAAATTATTATTCGAATAATATAAAGCAAAAACATTTCCTTCTATACTTCAAAATGAAAATCATTTTCAAAGCAAAATATTGTTTTCATAATTTTATAGAAAACTAAGAAAAGAAATCTGCGTAATTTTAGTAATATAATTTCTATGTAAAAAAATATATTCAACTTAAGCTATATCTAATAGATGTAGCGGCTTTATGCTTTTTCCATTATAGAAGCCAGAAAATTTTAAATTTATTTATAAGCATAATTATGTTCAAAAATTTAATTTTAATTTCACTGTCTTGCTTAATAATAATGAATTAAAAAGAAAGGAAAATAGGACAAAGAGGAATACTACTAATTTTTACTTTTATAGTCTTTGCATATGCTAGATGGGAATAAAACAAACTCAAAATATTTTTCAAATTTAATTTCAAAAATGTATGTTTGATTGAAAAAAAAGGGAGAAGTCTTACTAAAATCTTAAGAAAGAGTTAAATAATAGTCAGCATAATTTTGAATTTACAGTTTAATAACAATTTTAATACGAAATATTGTTTTGTTCCTAAATTTATATATAGTATATGATTATACACCAAAATCTTAAAAAAAAAATATAATTAAATTATTTAAGACGGCTAACATCTTTTAATTATAAAATTACAGAAAAAAAAATACTGGAAAAGATTTGAAACTTGGGGAGTTCACGATTCTCGTTATTATAATTGAAACTCGTAAGAATAAGAACCAAGTCTACAAAGAAGTAGGGTAAAAATTGTAAATCCCATTGATAATCTGTAATCTGAATGAGCTATTTTTTCACAAATTTAATTATTTATTCAAACAATAATGATTCTATCAAGCAAAACGTTTTACCGTGTATAAAATTTTTACATTTCATAACAACTTAACTTTTTTTCTAACAACTGAATAACTGAAAAGAACTCTACTCGCACATTTCGAAAACAAAATCATAATATCAGAAATTATTACGACAAAAATAAATACTTTAATATATACATTTTCTACAAAAAATCCTTTACATCATATTCTTTATTCTGTTTCTCATACTGATCTTGCAACATGAGGGCCGTTTCTTCGGCTTCTGTCACGATTTCGAACACTTTCTTCTTGACTTGCAACTGCAGGTGAGCGGGTAAAGTCTCTGTCGTGCTGTACATGCTGTTAAAAAATTCTAAAAGAGGATTTCTACCTGCAGATAGTAGATTTTGATTCAACTCATCCATTTCAATTCGTTTTGCATCATCCAGGTAAGACAGGGGTGTGCAATTTTTTCTTTTCTTTCGAGGCAACGATGAACTCGAGTCACTGGCTTCTTCCTCTAAGTTAATGACGTAATTGGCATCTTCGGAGTATGGAAGGATCTCGGCCGTCGTGTCCGAGGCCTTGTCGTTTTCGTAAATCAAGTCGCCATTTTTGCTTTGCATAAATGGAATAAGGAATTCCATATGTTGATGATATCTCCAAGCTCTGGATCCTTTAGAGTCTTTCTGGCGTTTTAAAGCCTCCCGGAAATTGTCTCTTAGTTTTTTCCATTGAACTTTGGCGGCTTTACCTGCAAAAAGAAGAAATATACAGTTTGAGATGAAATAATAAAAAATAAAAAAAACGAAGAAAAGCTTTAAAATTGGAAGTTTTAAAGTGAACTGAGAGGAAAAATAAATAAATAAAACACCTGAAATAACTTTCGATCTAATGGTCGGATTTTCAAGTACTAGGATTCAATACGTTTCTATCCCTGCACGCAATATTTGTTTTTAAAGTGTTTTATTATTAAAATTTTTTGATTAAAAAGAGAAATTTTTTTTCTCACGATTATAAGATAACCCCTTTACTTTGGCGATATTTTGAAAAGGCATTATTTTCACCGTTTTTATAAAATGTAAGAATAATAATATTTACATCCCAACATTTTTCATCTATTATTAAATAAAATAATAGGAAACAATAAAGGAATTTTAAAGGTTATAGTATTTCTACAAGAAATTTTCCTTAGATAAACAAATTTTATAATTAAGAATATTTTATATAATTATGAACGTTTTAATTAATTTGAATTATTAAAATTTTTTCTTGATTCACTTAAAACCGTTCCTGAGATTAGCAAAGGTGAAATTTACTTTAAGGAGCCCTAACTTACGTTTGCTCTAATGAAGCTATTAGGGCCATATTTTTAAGATAGCGTTTATCCACTATATTGTTAGGATTAATAATCCAAATCCAAAAAATAGGCTTAACCAGAGAAAGTACGTTTTGTGTCTGAATCCGTAAATTAATTCATAGCAAACACCAATTAGAAGAGGAAGAAACAGATGCGTTCCATATACTGTTATAAGAAATATTATATTTTCTTTTCAAAAATGCCACTTCTATTTCTTTCGCATTTTACTTGAAGTAATGTCGCGAAGGCAGCAGGAAGATTAAAAAAATTATGAATTATAGGTTTGATTTATATACAATCAAAGATTTCAAAACTCATTATAAAAGTACTAACTCAGGCAATTCGTTTATTATATGCTATCCAGCATGTTTCATCTTTTTTTCTTCTTCGATGTATTACTAAATAATTAACAAATAAATGTATTAGTACGCTTCGTAATAATGATGTTCCTTTTTTGGATTAATTGAAATAGGCAGGAGGACAATAGCTAGGGCTGCAGGTCTATCGCAGCGCGAATTTCCGCGATGATTTCAGCGAAATTGTCCCTTTTTTTTCTTTCTAAAATCCGCGAATTTCTTAATATGTTTTGATTTGCGCGAAAATTGCTTAAAATATGATTTTTTTTTCCATTTCTAATTTATTATTTTTACTTAACAGAATTTTTTTTACTTTCCTGAAGCCCTAAATTGAACATGTAAAATGGATTAGATATTTAGGGGAGTGAATCAATAGCAAAATGACAAGAAAATAGTTCAGAGATAAGAGATAATCACAATCTTGTCAAGTAAGAAGGTCTTTCTATTCTAAGGGAGGGTAATAGACTGAAAGGATTAGTACCTTCCTGAAGTCAGTAGGAATCACAAAAGAAGGAAAATGTTATAAATCAAATCTTTGACATAAAAATTGTTACAATGCACAGGCTATTGCACTGGGCAATGAAATTTCTACAGCCTTTCTACATATCCAGAAAATTTTTCCTGGGATGCTTGTTGCGATTTCTTAAATAGGGATCAGTTTCTGAGATGAGAGAGGGAGATAAGGCTTTTGTAACTAGTAGTTTGCATGTAGAATGTTTGAGTTTTCACAACAATTACTTCTTACAAAGCAAACGGTCAAGGAATTGCTCGTTGATGAAGGAAAATTGATCGAGTTTTGGAAATCTAAGACCGAACGCTATCCAAAAGTGGCAATTCTATGTCTGTCTGTGCCTACAAGCAGCATGGACGCAGAAAGATCGTTTCCTAAGTATAAAACTGTATTAAAGTGATAAAAGACGAAGCATAAATGAGAATAATCTGACAATGTACAATACTTTGTACCAAAATTCTGTACATTTAAATAAAAATACTAATATTGCTTGAATTAAAAGAAATACTTTTGCTGTGTATTTTTTAAGCTTTTTTTATTATTTGCGCAATTTCTGTCTTTCGCATCATTTATATAGAAAATTTTTTTGTGTTTAGAATCTGCGAAATTTTCAAAATTTTTCGCGAATTTCAGGTCTTTTTCTTCCGCGACAAACTTGCAGCCCTAACTATAGCCATCCTGTGTTCACAGATTATATTTTATAACCGTCGTTGAACCCAATGTTTTGGGTTTGCGACTACCAGTGTTCAACTCCTTAGCCTTGTCATTTTGAACACAATTTAGAAGACAAGGCAACTCCTGGATCATGTATTTGGAAACATTTGTTTTCGTGGAGGACTTTTTGATGGAACTAACCCACACTTGCGTTACATGGAGAGGAAAACATCAAAAACCTCCATGACCATGATCTGTCTACCACACATATTTTACGTTAGCACTGTGGTCGGTCCAAGCCAGATGCAGAATTCGTATTGCTGGGATTTGAACCCGGTTCATCTCATTGGAAGGCAAACGCTCTATCCCTCAGCCATCACGGCTTTTTGTTTACATATCGCCAAAATGCGGATGGCTATAGAACAGGCAAATAACTAAAATATTTTATAAGTTAATAAGGCCGTGATAGCTTGTTTGGCAGGGCGCTGGTCCCCCGTTCACAAAAAAAAGACAGTTCAAATCCAGCGGGTCGAAGAATTCCCGTGTAGTAAATGGCGACTGGTACACGTTAAATCTGTTGGGTCACTAAGTCCTCCATGTT